AATAATTTATAATAACAAATAATAATCAACTATATAAAATGATTACTTTTTATTTTAATTCTTAATTTTTTTTTATTTTACTGTTTAGGGATAAAAAAAAATTTATTTTATTTTAGGGTTTAGGGTTTAATTTTTAAAATTTATTTATTTTTAAACATTATTTATTTATTTTTATTTATCTAATTTTTAAAATTTATTTATTTTTAAACATTATTTATTTATTTTTATTTATCTAATTTTTAAAATTTATTTATTTTTAAACATTATTTATTTATTTTTATTTATCTAATTTTTAAAATTTATTTATTTTTAAACATTATTTATTTATTTTTATTTATCTAATTTTTAAAATTTATTTATTTTTAAACATTATTTATTTATTTTTATTTATCTAATTTTTAAAATTTATTTATTTTTAAACATTATTTATTTATTTTTATTTATCTAATTTTTAAAATTTATTTATTTTTAAACATTATTTATTTATTTTTATTTATCTAATTTTTAAAATTTATTTATTTTTAAACATTATTTATTTATTTTTATTTATCTAATTTTTAAAATTTATTTATTTTTAAACATTATTTATTTATTTTTATTTATCTAATTTTTAAAATTTATTTATTTTTAAACATTATTTATTTATTTTTATTTATCTAATTTTTAAAATTTATTTATTTTTAAACATTATTTATTTATTTTTATTTATCTAATTTTTAAAATTTATTTATTTTTAAACATTATTTATTTATTTTTATTTATCTAATTTTTAAAATTTATTTATTTTTAAACATTATTTATTTATTTTTATTTATCTAATTTTTAAAATTTATTTATTTTTAAACATTATTTATTTATTTTTATTTATCTAATTTTTAAAATTTATTTATTTTTAAACATTATTTATTTATTTTTATTTATCTAATTTTTAAAATTTATTTATTTTTAAACATTATTTATTTATTTTTATTTATCTAATTTTTAAAATTTATTTATTTTTAAACATTATTTATTTATTTTTATTTATCTAATTTTTAAAATTTATTTATTTTTATTTTGATGTAAGTGTGAGTGTGAGTACGTGTGCGCGTGCGAGAGAGAGAGAGAGAGAGAGTTTGTAAGTGCGTGATAGTTTGTTATTGAAAGCGTGGCTTTTGACCACGCATTCTTTACAATACAACTTTCTTTAAAAGCGCGGTTAGAAATCACGTTTTTTGAGAAAAAAAAATTTATTTAAAAGCGTGGTTAGAAATAACGCTTTCTTAATTAAAAGCGTAGTTTGTAACCACGCTTTTACGATTTTACAAATTTTCTGCGCTTGGATTGCAAAAACGGTGAAAGCGTAGTTTCCAACCACGTTTTAGCTTATTTTAAAAAATTCGTCAAAACTAGATCTAATTTAAGAAATAACTTGTTATTTTAACTTAATTAGCGAAAAGCCCCGTCGTTGGGCTGTGGTGGCCATTATTGTTGCTGTCAAATTTTCGAGATCGACAACCAACCTGAAACCCTTCATCTTATCTGTGTGGTGGAATTGCATTTTGTCATGGAAAATGCTAGGGTACTTTAAGATTTAGTTTTTGAAATGAGCTATAAGTTTTGAATTGTATTTTTAAAGATGAATTGTTGAAAAATATTTTGAAATTAAAATTTATTTAGTTATAAATTTTGAAAATAGTTTTTGGATGATTTGTAATTTTTTTTATAGTTAAATAGCTGACTGTGAGAGAAAATTTAATTGATTGATGTATGAAATGTGAGAGAATGAGAGAGGAGAAAAAAATGCTTAATTAATTTATTAATAATAAAAAATAAAAAATAAATTGAATTTTGAATTGTATTTTAAAAATTCATTAATCAAATAAAATTTTTAATTTTTTCATTCAAGTCATGTTTTAAAAATCAAACTAAACACTATCAAAAAATTTATCAAATATCACGTCCTAGTGTGGGCTCACAACACACCTGTGTGTGAGATATTTGATAAAAGTTGTATGATTCTCGTTGATGAATAAGAAAAAGGAATGAGAGGGGAAAAGAGGTGGTGGTAGGTCGGCAATGGGGAGGTCCGTGGGAAGGGGGACAGAAGGCTGGTGTTGTTGAGTTGGCAGTGGGAATGGGAATGGGGTGTTGAGTCGGCGCTGGGAATGGGGTTATGGGTCTTCGCTGGTCTAACCGTGGTTCACTTAGTAGAAATGGACAAGCAACAATGACCAATCTCTTTCTTTCTCATTAAGGCGTGTTGTTTGGCATGTGTTTTTTTGAAAAAAAAAAAAATTAAATAGTTAAAAAATTTAAATTAATTATCATATTATTTTTTTATACTTTTTTTTATAAAAAAATTAAAAAATTAATTGAAATAGTCAATTTTCAAACGAATTCTTATTTGATGGTAGGATTATTTACATGGAGATCATCTAAATTATTAAGAAATATCACTTTGACCCAAGGGTTCCCAAATGACATGCGGACAAAAAACTCGATATTACCCAACTCAACCAATCTGTCTCATGGCCCATCCCAGTCGACCTGAGTGCTTAGCTCATTCCAATCTATAAAAGATAATTCAGGGTTTTGGATGAAACTTTGTAACCCGAGCTAGCCCATAAACTCGACCAATAAGAGCCTGCATGAGTAAATCTAATGTTTAGTTTGATTTTTTTTTTGTTCTCATGTTTAAAGTTTTTATTTTTGCTTCTTTCCATTTTCCCCCCATTATATGTTATTTGATTTCTTTTTTTATTATATGAGATGTAAAAAAGTAAAAAAAAATATTAAAAAAAAAACAAAAATACTTGAATTATGTTAGAAAGTAAATAAGAAAAATAACTAATGAAAATATTAAAAATATGTAAATGAAAAATGTGTAAAACTTAATAATATGAGTGGAATGAAAAATGTGTATTTCGGTTCGGTTTAATTTTGGACTGTAAGATTTGGGCTTATGGGTGGGACGTGGTTTTAATTTTTTAAATAGGAAAATGCTATAGGTCTCATATTTTTTACCAAATGAGACCCCACACCTATGTGAGACATTTGGTCATTTATTTGGTAGAAAATTTAATATTCCTAACATTACTCTTTTAAATAAGTCCAACCCCTACCAACCCGTTCACTAGTCAAAACCTGAAAAATTCTTTAAAATATGGAATTTAGACACAATAATCGTGAGATGGGTAAGCTCAGCGTGTCCTATTGACTCTTAAACTATAAAAGCAAACAAATAAATCCCTTCAACTATTGACGTATTTTACTTTGACCCATTCCATTATTACAAGGGGAGTTAAACCAAACTTTTAAACCTTTTTTTTGGACTTTACCATTCAATACTTTATATAACACCCATCAATAGTTTTTCTCAATTTTTCTTTTTTGTTTTTGTTTTATTATTATTATTTTAGATATTCTTTTTATAAAAATATAATTATAAAAAATATTTTTTAAAAAATAATAATGGATGAATCCTTAAATTTACAAAAATTTAAAAACAATAATAATGAAATTGTGAATATATAGTGTTAAAGGGTTTTTTTTATCTAAAAAATATTTAAAAGTTTGGTTTCACTCACGATGCAATAATATAAAAGGGGTCAAAGTGAAACACGTCAATAGTTTAGAAGATCCATTTGTACGCTTTTATAATTTGAGGGTCAAAGTGATATTTTTCAATACTATAAGAAATCTATTTATATGTTTTTTTTATAATTTAAGGGATCAAAATAATATTTGTCAATAGTGTAGGGGTCCCCATATAAATATAACCCTTTGAGAGTATTTCATGTAATTTGAACAAATTAATTGATGCCACAAATTAAATATGTTAGTTCACTTAACGGTTAATTAATAGTTGGGAGTTTTTGTAATGTGATTATAATCTCAGGAGGGAACATAATTTTTAAAACTTTAAAAAACGAGTAATTGTATCAGTGTGAAACCTGGAGGAGTCTAAGGTGTCGTTGGAGAAGTGGGTTGGTTTTTTAATTTTTTGTTGTTTTGATTATTTTAGTTTGGGTTAAAAAATTTGGTTTAGGAAGGATTTTTTTATTTTTTGACTTTTTTTTGTGAGAGAAGATTGTAATGATTATAAGTTAGACGTGATGTTTTGTTTGTTGTGATTAAAATAGCCTATTTTGTCTTTTGTAACTAAAATAGCTAAAAAAACTTCCAAACCTACTTCCGAAACGGTGCCAAGTGTAATTTACCTTTATAATTGTTTTTTTCAAAGTAGCACTTATCTGAATTTTCCCTAAAAGTAAAACAGTAATGATAGAGATCTCACAAAACACAATCTCACAAACTCTAAAATGATCTAAACAATTCATATCATTGTCAGAGATAGGAAAAAAAAAATTCAAACATATCAATGGTCAATACACCAATGAGGGTCGTGAAACTCCTCATTTGTAGGAGTCCCAAACATTTTCCAAAATAAAATTGCAATACAGGTAACATTTAGGCCAGGTTTAAAATGTGTTAAAATAATATATATTTTTTTATAATTTTTTTATCTTATTTAAGGCCTCGTTTGGAAACAGGCTAATTTAGTAACTTTTTGGCTATTTGGCTAAAATATGAGCTAAAAAAAACTAGTATGTTTGGGATGACTTTTTGGCTGCAAAAAGTAGAGAGAAAAGAGAATCTTTAACTTTTTGGTATGGGTTGTTGGCTTTTTGGCTAATTTAGTAACTTTTTGACTTTTTGGCTAAAAGGGATGATTCCCAAACGAGGCCTAAATCACATTAATTTTTATTTAAATCATATTATTTCTCTATCATATTTTATATATTTTTTTAAAAAAAATTAAAAAATATACTTAGATCATCCAAGCAAGCCAAGAGAACAGTCCTAAAACCATCGGACGGTGGGCCCTGATGTTGATCATGGCGCTTAGATGAGAATCCAACGGCAATGGTTACAGCTTTGTGTTTAGGCAGTTTCGCTTTCGGTTTCTCCTGATAATTTTCTGACTGCTTGACTTGAAGCTAAAAAAAAAGTCTTTTCTTATTCTTCTTTTCCCATTGTTGTTGTTGATTGTTCGTTTTCTCTCTATTTTCTTCCCCCAAACCAAACCATTGAAAAAGTGAACTACTTAGCATAGTTGAAGATCACCATTCAAGGAAAGAAAAAAACACAAAACCCAAAAGAAAAGAAACATATGAGATGAGTTTTGGCTTTTTTCTTAGAATTATTATACTCAAATTCTTCCAATTTCTTGCCTGGTATGTCATCTTTTTATTCCCTTTTTTTTAAGAAGTTGTCTGTTATCAGTTTGATGCAAAAACCCTTGATGGGTTCTCATTTCTTTTTGATCCATGTAGTTTAATTCTATGTTTCAGTCAAGGGGACAGTTTATATTTTGGTTATAAAGAAACACATTATTATCATTGCTTTAATTGTTGGGCAGATTTCATTTTATCCTGTGATATAGGTATATCTTTGTTATTTGAAATTAATTTCCTTAATTCCAGTTGTCTCTGGACTAAAACATACTACTAACTTAGTAAATGACACTTATAAATTAACTTAACATATAGCATTTTGACACAATATATGGCATTTAGTGATTGAACCATTAAAGATGCTCAGTTTAGCAGAGAAGAAGAATGTAAGGAAGATAAGGGTATTTAAGTTAAGGGTAAATTACACTTAGTATCTTGTACTTTCACTAAAATCTCACTTTGCTCCCTTAACTTTCAATTGTAACAGTCAACATTTTACACTTTTTAAGTCAAGTTTCAATCTTTACCCTTCCATCCATCTACCGTTAATGAGGTTAACCAAATTTAAAAGTGGAGGGTCTAAGGTGAGGTTTTGGTAAAAGTGTAAGGATTAAAGTGAATAAAAGCTTAGGGGTGTTAACGAGAAAAAAAAAATGTCACATATGCTTTAGATGACAATTTCTGTCAACCTCGTTAACGACAGATGGACGGAAGGGTGACATCGCAACTTGACTTAAAGTGTAGGTAGGGGGTTGACTATTACAATTGAAAGTGGATTGGTCATAGTGAGATTTTGGTAAAAGCATAGGGGTGCTAAGTGTAATTAATCCTTTATCAACGTTGCTCTAATGGTATAAATGCTATTTTTTCAATTTTATTTATACTTACGTATAATCAATTCATACAAATATTATATATGGTCCCATCATGAAAGATATAGAAATAAAACTACTTGTCAATTTTAGCCATATCTAAATTGTGTGCCAAATTTGACACAGAGTTTAGTAATGCTAAAATGTAACACAAGGTTTAGCTAACCATTGAAGAGCTCAAAATTGAGCTCTGTGCTATTTTCTAGTAACATGCCTTTTAATATACCATTGGAGAAGCTCTAAACCTTTCATTTTCCCTCTTGTCATACAAGTAATGTGCACATAACCCTTGCCATTTGAAAATATAAATGTAGTGTAATGCATTTCTCGTTGATTTAGATCTCGTTGGTGCGTTTTAATCCACAAACCACATGAGCTAAATGGTTATTTCCAAACGTCAAGTGCTTATGTGCACATTATTTATACCATGTTATATTTCCTTTAATTGTTTACAAATTTCATAGAAACGTATACTTCTCATTTTGTACTTCTATTGATCTACAGGCCTCCATTTACATTGGTGTGTCCTTTGTAAGTACCTCTCTGGTCCTCTCATGTTTCTCTTGTAATACTAAAACTATGAAATGGGTGTTCTTCAACTTTGTGTGTTTTCTTCAACTTTGTGTGTTCTCCAAATTTGTGCCTTGATTTGTAAACTGTAAACTCAAGGACTGGATTTAGTGAGGCTTTGACTTCTGCACTTAAACAGGTATGCTTCGATCCGGGCAATAGAGAGTAATACACAGTCCAACTATCAGCAATGTCTCACCTATTGGGTTTTGTATTCTGTTGCCAAAATCTTGGAGTCCATGCTTGCAAAGCTCCTAGTGTGGTAATTCGTTATTATTATTACTTTTTTGTAATATGGAAATTTTGAGAAAAGCTTCATCTGTGGCTTGGTTAATCGTGAATGACAGAATGTATGAACTCGAATTTGAGCTAGCTTGAGCTATGTTTCGCAGTTGGGACCTTCAATTTTTTGTCATTGGGTACAAAAAACAATATTAGCCCCTGGTTGGTGCAGCTTTTGGGGCGGTTTATGGGATTTTTATTTAATATTTATTATTATTATTATTATATTTGCAAGAGTGTTTGGTGAAACTTTTTACAGAAAGGCGGTGGAGTTTGGCCTTGGTTTTTTTAGAATGTAAAAAGGTTGATGCGTTTGGGAAGTTGCTAAAAAGTTTGTTTTTTGTAAGTGACTTCTTTGTTTTTTTAGCTAACGAGAAACAAGCTTTATATTTTTTTAGCTTATTTAGCCAAATAAGCCAAAAGGCTACCTTATTTAGCTCACCCCAAATAGGTAAGTTGAAAAAAAGTTGATTATTGACAGGTTGGGGATGCTTTCTGATTATTGTCTTTCAATTTGAAAGTTGCACTTGCACCAAACAGGATCTTAATATCACTTCTCAAACATCCCAATTTTTCATTTTGTATCACAGTTTTTTTTTCTTCCCCTTTTTAATAATTTTATGGTGAATTATGTATGATTATCACTTTTTTGCCTTTAGGTTCCCCTTTTGGCATTATGTAAAGGGCATAACCACCTTCTTGCTGGTGGTACCTTACTTTCATGGTGCTTCTTATATCTATTTGCTCCTCATTAAGCCCTACATTTCGGGGAATTCACAAATATGCGGCCATTTACTCATCCCAAGGACAAAGGCTTGCTTGTTAAATGAGCAAAATGACATTCTTGATGCTGCAGATAGCTACATCAGAGAAATTGAAGAGGATGAATGGGAGAAATCCATCATTTACAAGGTAAATTAATCAACCTACTTATGCACAGCTATAATGTGAACATAGCTGTACAACTCCCAAAATGGTAGCTGCTAAGGCTTTTAGGTTTACTCTTAATTGAAATTGGTTAGTAGCTTATTAGTCTCTGACTTGTTTCATCTTAAGAACTAACTTATGGTAAGTTTAGTACCCCCCATTCAAGAGCTATTAAGCACAAACACTACTAAGCAGGTAGGTTGTCTGTGTTGGACACTGACACCTGTCGGACACTCGTCTAAACGTGTCCTATTATTTTTAAATTTTTTTAGACCGGGACACTCTTCAGACACATGAGGGACACACGTGTCCATCACTTGGACACACATGAAACTAATTATAAGTTTGAACAAAATAATCTAGGATGCAAAGATAAAAGAAAAATAATGTAAATTTACAAAAATTGGCATTATATTGCATTTTTCAATTATTTTGTAGTGATATATTCATATTCATATATATGACATATAATAAATTCATAAAACTAAATATTTTGTGTGTCTCCCACGTGTCGTGTCTTACATTTTTTTGAAAATTGTCGTGTTAGAGTGACCTTGTTCGTGATCCTTAGTTCAAGAGAATGTAAAGGTGAAAATGGATTATTCCTCTTCATCTAGAGAAGGAAAAGTTGTAGTTTCTTCAGCCTCAAGGGAAGTGAATAAGAAGAAATTAAATGATAAGATCAACAATATAGTGTTATCAAGGGAGAAAGCCTTTGCAAATCTTTGAGCAAACCAAAGAAGCCTTGCCTCAATCTATCAAGTTGCAGGCAAAAAATCTCAAAGCAAGGGCAAAGCGAACCATGGTAGTGTTACCTAGTTTGTTTTCTTTCCTCTCGGGTTATTAGGTGATAGCTTTGAGATTGGCCTAGGCTCTCGGGTTGTTACTTATGACAGTATTTTCTTTGTAGTCTAGGTCTTTCCGAGAGTTCCCTCCTTGTGATGTGCTTAACCTTTGGCCATATCTATACATCTATATACTATATATAAAGTGAACAACTCACTTAGTGTTGTCCTGAAGCCTACTCTCTCCTTTTGCCAAGTAGATTTTATCTCTATTGAAAAAAATAATAATTTATAGTGAAGTACACAAGACTTGAGCCTAAGGCCTTTGGTTTGATCAACAACATCCTTACCACTTGAGCAACACACACTATATATACTTCTAATTCGAAATGAAAATTTATATTTTGCAGATTTAATAACACTTCCATTGGGTGGGCACACACTCTCTGTTATATATGTCTACGTATTGTTTTTGTCCTTTGGTCATGTCCTGACCTTAGTTGTAACTTGTAAAAAAACAACGCCCAAATAGTACACATTAATGTATGTTTGGGACGGGAAAGATTGGGTATAACATTCACCAAACAGAAATGCGACTCTAGAGGCCTTACCCATAAGGAGTAACATTAAGACAATATCAAGTGTTCAAACTACTCCCAGCATTCTGGTTTTGGGTTAGTGTAAGTTAGGTTGACAGTGACAACCATATAGCACCAGGCCATCATTGGTTGTTAGATAGGAATTCCTAGGGTGTCGTTTGATATTGTTTAGTAGTGTACTTTTTTGTTTACAAAAAATATTAAATATGTTTGTGTTTATTTTTGGAAAAGCAAAAACAAAAAACATGTTTGATGAACATAAACATGTTTGATACCCATATGTTTTATGAATTTGTTTTGAAATAAGAGGGGTTGGCGGGAGGTGGTGGCCGGAGGTGATTGTAGAGATCCAGTGTGTAGGTTTTGTTCACATGTGCCAGTGGGAGGATCAGAAAGTTTGTTTGGGAGGCAATTCTAATTGGTCAATAAAGATAAATTTCAATGCTTTTTTTTCCCCTTACATTAGTCAATTTATCATGAAAGGTAAAGTAATGTTGGCTAAGGGTGATTGTTGACTGTGGGAGTTGGTAGTAGGAGGTGGTTGTCAGGGGATGTCTCCGCCGTTGGAGGTGGGAGTGTTAAGATGTGGTAGCCAGTGATTGTGATGAGCAGTGTGGTTGGTGAGGGTGGACAAGGAGGAATGAATGCAAATTTATTTTCTAAACAAATATTTTTTAGTTACAATAATTTAGTAGATTTTGTATACTTTTTACATTTTTTTAATACAAACCGCAAACAATTTTTTGCTTACATATTTTAATATATTTGTGAACATAACTGTAAACATAAATGTTACCAAGCAGAGCCATGAAGTTATGTTTTCATCACAGGGTGGATCCAAATCTAATCATGACAGCATAGAAAGTGATCTGATATGGCTATCAAGTCCAGAGAAAGTTCAGGAGCGGAACACTACCAGCAAAAAATGTATGCAAAAAAATTTCAGAGAAGAGAAGCACAAGGGCATGGAAGAGGAACGTAGAAGAAATGAAGTAGCACATGAAACAGTAAGCTTTCCTTTAACAATGGAGAAAGAAGATGGGATGACTTCACTTGGGAATTTAAACCAAACTAAATGGGTGAACCTCAACAAATTGAGCAGTCTCTTCCACCCAGTCACAAGATCATTTGGATTGTGTACATGGGAAAAGCCAGAGTTTGGGTGGACAAAATTGAATACTGATGGATCTGTAGGTCGGGATAATGCTAGCTTTGGTGGTTTGCTTCGTGATTACAATGGTGACCCTATATGTGCTTATGTTTCTAAAATTCCTATAAATGATATTTTCTTGGTTGAATTATTGGCTATTTGGAGAGGCCTTGTTCTTGCCTTGGGACAAGGGATTAAAGTAATATGGGTTGAATCAGACTCACTGAGTGTAGTCAAAACCATCAACAAAGAGCAGACCTATGGTCCAAGGGCTAGTAGCTATTTGAAGCGCATTTGGTTGCTCTTAAAGAAGTTTGAGAAGTATGAAGTCTCTCATTCGTGGCGTGAAACTAATAGAGCTGCAGATTATCTTGCAAAGATGGATCTCATGGGAAGTGATGTTGTTTTATGGCCTGTTGGCTTTCCTGATAGCCTTTGTAGTATTATCAATGAGGATGCTCAGGGAAGGTGGTATCGTAGAGTCTCTTTGTTTTCTAGAAAATGAAAATAGAAAACAAAAAGCAAAAAGCACCACTTGACCGACCTTAGCTTTCTCAAGCCCGGTCTGATGGGTGATGACCCTTCAAACAAGGATGATTCAAAGTTATTGTAGAAACAGATACAAGAATGATAGTGTGTTTTATGAGAAATTGAAGTCTAAAAGAGTTAGATTTGAATCATTGAAATAGCACAGGAGGTGGTGGATCACAAGGTTTTCAATTGACATGGTAGTTTGTAACGCTGTGTTTGGTTGGGAGATTTGAGCAGAGATTTGAAAATGGAGATGGTGGATCACAGGGTCTAATGGGTGAATTCTTTTTTAATTTTCTTTTCAAATGCCTTCTCAAATCTCTCAACAAAACACAGCGTAAGAGCTTTTAAATTGATCAGATTCTACTGGGCACTTGTTTTTACCGGCCTTTTATCACAATTATGTAAAGAAAAATGATGTGTACTCCGAGATTTTATGTAGGATGACGTTGCCGGTTATGATTGGCCTATGAGAGGACCAATGATAGTTAACCAAATGAATGGACTACTTTTTGGTCTCGCAGCACTTCTTTGTGTAAATGATCATTTTCCTTTGGTTTCAATTGGTTTGTAGTTTAGGAATTGTGAATCATCGCTTGTGGTAATATTAATTGTAACATTAACGTAGCGTTCGATTGGCTAAAATAAAAGTGGATTAAAATAAAAAAGTCATTCCTTAACGTCTTTATGAAATGACCATTTCTTTATAATGATGAATGATGATTCAATTTGTAATGTATTTTTTCATAATTTTTTTAGTGAACTAAACGTGAGAATAGACATTCAAATGAAATGATGATTAACCAAACATAAGTATAGTTCTTTTCAGTAATTAAACAATTTGAAGATGGCCTACTATTCATTATATATATTCATTTCTCTCCCTCCTATTTTGTTTCTTTTCTATAGGCCACGTTTGATATTCAGGCAGATATTGGGATTAGATTGTCAATTTGTGGGCTCACAAATATGATATTAATTTGCGTTAAATTGAACTGGTTACACAATTTCATGGATGATAAATTTTGCAAAATGGTAGATTAGGAATACTAAAGGATAATGAAATTTGTAATATAAGTGAGAAGCAATTTTGCTTTGTTATGAATAATAAAATTATATTTTTTATGTACAACACCGCTACATTCACATGAGTGTTACAGTCCAAATTTACACAATTGAGACTCTGACCGGTAAAAGTTTCTCTCATTCGGGTATATCTAGACAGAAAAAATTGTATAGATGAATCATTAATATTTTATGTAACGAGAAATTTTATGGAATTTTATAAAATTTATCCCAATCAACTAGTGAAAAGCAAACATGAGCATTGGGCTGGTATTGATGTAATAATCTCGTGGTAAACAAAATCTCTAACTATTCCAAACACCTATTTAGCCTCCATGTATTTGTATTCTTAACTTTTATTAATAGTCATAGTCATTAAGAGGTGTTAAATACAAATAAATTAACTGAAGTATGAGTTATTTTATGCCTTGCCCAAAAATTTAAAAAAAAAAAAAAAAGAAAAAAAAAAGGATGATTTTGTTATTTCTAGACTAGAAGGGTTTGAAAACAAAAACCGATCAAATTAACATTTTTATTTTGTTAATTTCAAATTTGGTCCACTTTTATAAAGTAACAAAATTTAACAAAAAATTAAAAAAAAAAAACTCACTATGGATTAAAAAATAATAATAAAGAACAAGCTTAAAAGCATTTCCTATTTTACTTGCATTTCAATTTTTTCTTTTACTTTTTGAAAAGTTTAGTTTCTCTTTCGTTGATTAGAAGAAGCAATTATCGTTTCAAAAGAGACAAGCTTCTATCAAGTTCATTAATGTGGACTAGATGGTCTAATAAAGCCTGTTTCGAGTTCCAATTCGATAATTATAATCATTAAGTTATGGATCTTAGAGTATAAATTATTAGTAAAAAAAAATTAGGTTAATTAGACAATCATAATTACATGACTATATTATATTTATCTTTAAAAAATCTAGTTTTTGTAAAAAATAAATATAATAAAATAATATAACAATGATTATTGAGTTAATTAATTAATTTTCTATATATATATATTTTTTATAACGTAAGTGTGGGTCTCAACAATTTAAATGACAAATAAAATTCATGGTGGTCTCAAGAACCGAACTTTTAACGGATTAGTTGACTCAGGTGGACTCGCCAAAAGGGCTCTTCTCTTTCAAAATTATCCTTTCACTTTTGTCCACCAATTATAATAGGAAAATTAGCAGTTGGCTTGTGTAATATATTTGTTTTATTTATTTATTTATAAATATTTAATGATATAATATGTGTTAATTTTAAATTAAAATTAAAATTAAAGTATAATTTTAATTATTTATTTTGATAATATTGGCACTATCGTTCTATGAAATTGTTATTTGAATACTTATATATACGTAATAATTTTAGTTAAATTATTTGTGTATTTTGATAATTTTAGTTTTATTATATTATAAAAGTGTAATGATCATACAATAATTTTGTATGATATATATTAAATCATAAAATAGTAAAAATAAATACTCATTTTGATGTTAAAAATAATAGTTAAATTATAAGAAGAATTAGTAACTTAAAATTAAAAATAATTCTAACTATTTAATTTTGTTTTATATTCATTTGGAAACTAAAAATATGTAGAAATATAAATCATATAAAATTTATAAAAAAATTAAATATAAATATGTTGTAATTAGATTATCATATAATGATTTTATATGATATATATTAAATTATAAGATTATAAAATAAACAGTCTTAATTAAATTAAAGTATCAATTATATAAAAAGAAATTTAATAACGACTAACAAAAAAAAAATTGTCATAACAACATCTAAACCCAAAAAGAAAAAAATAATGAAAACATCCAAGTTATAGATACATCTCAGTGTGAAAAGTGATTAATCATCTGTAATATGATATCAAAACATAAAAGAACTTATTGTTCAACAATTCAAAAAGTAACTCAAGTAGTAAATCCTAATTTTAGAGGCTTTTCGAGAGTATCATTGTTATGCATGTTTTTTTTCCTGTGAGTTGTGATTATATAAAAAATATAGAAAATGAAATATAATTTCAAATATAGAATCATTATAAAATTTAAACTGTAAATCCATAATATAGAATTGGTATTGAATATAGAATAATACACGGGAAAATAAGAAGAAAAAAAATGTAATTTAGTATCAAAAAAAAAAAAAAAAATCTTAACACCCTTAAAAGAACTAAGAAAAAAAATGTGAAACGCAAAATTAGTATTGGATTTGTAGATTATATCAATTTACAATGAAAAATATATGGAAAATAAATATTTGTCAAATAAAGTCCATAAAAAATAGGTAAAGCTAATATAATTTAAATTAGATTTGGATTTGTATAGAACTCTATATGTAATGAAAAAAATACATGCTGATTGTAACGCCCCATATTTTATTACTCGGATAATCTTATCAATATTCATTAATTAAGTCCATTTACAAATAGCATTTCATCCTTGGATGAAATGATGAATGATTAAATATACATATTCTCTCTTATTATACAACAATGACATTTACATACAAATAAAAGAAATGCCCTGAGGCTTATAATAAAAGAGAGGACACTACTCTTTACAAAAAAATAGCACTTAGCCAAACAACAAATGAAATAGTACAATCTATTACTACATTACAGTTATGAAATGGTAAAAATCATTATTTGATTTTCAAATCCGAAAATCATTCCCTGTACACATGTACAGGCAGAGGGTGAGCAATCACTGGCTCACCAAACAATCACATATTAAAACATTAAGAAATATGCGGGTACAAAGATAATCATACATATACTTGAAATCATACCATGTCAAAAACTATACGATTCTATTACACCATCTCTTAAATCTCATTTATTTAATTAACCACAACTAGTTAGCTTAAATAACTAAACATGTTTCAATGGTAACAGGACATCCTTTTTAATTTATTCAATTACCTCGTTGTCAATTGAATCAAATAATTAAGCAATTCATAATGACATCTAACAAAGCTTCAAATACATTTTATGTAGTCTTATGAGACGAATGTATATACCATGTCATGCTCAAAATATTTTTCTCATCTTTTGAAAATCTTGTGCACAATGCTAATTTGAAAACACATTAATCCAACAATTTCAATAAAATTTCAATATGGTAAATACGACTCAGGTCATCCCTAAGCTGGTGTCTATAAGTAGACTATACAAGTACTATCAATTTGTCATTTTTACCAGTATTAACTGAAAGGCTCAACATCTGTAGTCTGTCATTTTTACCAGTATTAACTGAAAGGCTCGTGTAACGCCCCAAATTTCTAGCCCAAATGATAATACAACAATCGTGGCTCTTTCAAGAAAAACCGAACATAAATCTCCAAACTTACATTACATGTTACAATAGTTCTTCATGCAACAATACATTAATCCAACAACAAGTAAATAAACAAATAAATACCTCCAAGGGTTTACAAGTTTCTAAGGTTTGAGCCTGGTTACATAAAACGGTTATTCAAACCCACACATGCATAGCCCTTGGCTTACATGCAGAGTCATAGCAAAATGAGAGCATTGTACTCCCAACACAAATACTTTCACGCCCCTAGTTGGGTGGGATCACCACATCTTTTCCTGCACAAAAATCCCGTAGGGCGAGCATAAAGCCCAGTAGGAAATTATTAACAAAGTATATGCATTTTATACAAGTCTCAAGAGATGAAATGCACATGTCATGCTATGCCCTTTTTGAAAATAAATCACATTTTCATCTTTTGAAAACCATTATGCTCAATGATATCATGCAATTTCAATTGTTCAAAACTTAACAATTTATATCAAGGGTATACGACTCTGATAATCTCTAAGTCGGTGTCTACAAGTAGACTATACAAGTACTACTAATTTGTCATTTTTACCGGTATTAACCGAAAGGTTCGACACCTATCCACGCGGGTTTTCGGTCTTCCACCCTGGACTCTTAGGCCATATAGTGATCCCAATTTTGTCACTTCGTTGAGTATGTCAGGGATCGAGCTGCCCGGTTAGCTCGCGGGGGTTTAGGGGGCAACGCCCCTTGACGGGTCCAAGGGCAGCACCTGGATGGGGATCGAGCTGCCAGGTCAGTTCGTGGGGGTCTAGGGGGCAACGCCCCTTGGCGGGTCCTAGCACAGCGCCCTGACAGGGTTGAGGGGCAGCGCCCCTGAAGCAAAAAATGTAAAATGCATTAGAAGTTGCTTGTTCACTCGAGCGGCCGTTTATGCACTCGAGCGGAGAACGTTTGGTTCCAGAAGTTTGACCTGTCTGCAAAGGTATTGGGAAAGTGTATTTAACGCTTGAGCAGGGCTTTCCATGCTCAAACGGACCATGTTATATCAGTTCGTGAATTTGATATTTCAATTCACTCTTGTATATCTCTCTCTCTCTCTAAAAATCCTTTCCTTTCCTCTCCAAGGGGCAACGCCCCCGAAGCAAAAATGCAAAAT